ACCTGGTTTTCCTGAGCAGAATATATCTGCCCTACAAAGGCATGTGAAAAGAGGCATGGTGTTTTCAGAGCCAAAAAGGTACGGTAAGGCGTATGTGAGTTCGCTAGCATAAATCAGCACTGCATCCTTCGACGAAACTCGGACCCCGAAAATACAGGTGTTCTCAAAGAAGGAAACTTGCCCCGCGCGAACCGTTTGTCCTATTGGAAAGCCACTATCAAGTCCATGCTGTAGTTCCCAATTAGAATGATTATGTTCCTGGTCAAAAAGTTGCTCGTACCGCACAAACTTACTATCAGTGGCACGTAAAAATTATTAACGTAAGTGTTGAAACTTGGAACGTATCACGTTCTAATGGTCGACCATCATCCACCAGACGTCACTACCAAGGTAATACCTCTACATAGCATAAACAGTTCGCTTTACAAATTTTATCGCGTCGTGGCTGAACATAATATTTTCTGTATATTACAGCTGCGGATGACGCGTGCGGAGGTGCGAACATCCTTGTCTCAACAACATCATTCAATGCGCTCATTTAACGATATGCACGACAGGTATGTCCCGATCGAACTTGAACAGGGCTGTCTGGCTATGCTAAGCTGAAGATTTCGCCCAATTTGCGCAGTCTACTAAGCTTGATTTTAAAATAAATCAATTTAGGCCAGCCGTCGTGAACGTTGTCGATCCTAAACCTCACATAAGGAATTTTTTAACATCAAAAGGACAGACAATTAAAGTCCACATGCAGAACTGATACACCAAACTGAATGACTTAAAGTCAATTGCCCGAATAGAAATAAAGCAACAGAATGCGGATTTAGTGTTAGCTGTTAGCGGTGGCTGGTCAAGATCTGATAACAATGGATCTGGACAGCAAAACTCGGTCAATGTCTTGATCCTGCTCGAAGACTTCGTCGATTGTAAAAACCAAACCTTCATCGCAGCTTCTGATAGTCCCTCCTAAAGATCATCTTACAAGGCATTGTGGTGATCCTGGTCAGGAAACTTGGTGCTGCAAATACCTTCCAATTCCTTGATAATGCACATGCATTATTCTAAAAAGAACATCTCTTCCTTTTATTTTGTTGAAAAGAAGGGATGTGATCTTGTAAATTAGAATTAAATTCGCTTCATGGTATGTCGTACCGTGGGTGCACGTATTAAGGAGATCGACCGCATCAACAATGTCTCTATGTTGCTGCAGTTCAAATTTACATTCCGCTCAACGATTTTCGTGGAACCGTATTGCCCAAAGAGGCGGTGGGCTTGACTTTCGGCTATGTTGATATAAGTCGTGATAACATCGATGTCCACCACAAAATATTATTACAGTTCTATCGTAGTTTGGTTCATCTGTGCTACGACATGATCACTAAAACAGCCTGCAACCTTATTATTATGCATGCTAATATAAATAGTGCTAACTGCTTGGCCTGTGCAACAAAAAAACAAAATAAAAGCGTACGGTCACGAGGGTAGTGGGTTAGATTCAACCATTGACGAGATCTTCGAAGCCGTAGGTTCCAACCTCGAGATTTCGATGGCTTACATACGTTCGATCGGCAAATTTACTAGATCAAATGATTGATCATTGATGGAAATATCGCCGAGTTTTTTTACAAAAAAACCGTTGCGCCATTAAATGTTTATGACAGCAAATAACATATCTCGACTAGTCAGAGAGAATAATAACTAGAACAGGAATGGCGAAGCCAAAAGGATGCATCCACATCATGTATAATATGCAAATGATGGCGTTTAAAAAGTGAAACGCTTTAGAAGTTATGAGGAGACAAAGCTAAATATGCGGTCATTCTCGTCCGAATTGCCACCACAGAGAATTAATTTAGCAAGGTATTCAATTAATATTCTAGCAAAAATCTAATTGGTCATCCTTGACATTGTGTATTTGGCTCACATGCACGATGCGCCCGCATTCTGATAACATGTCACTAAGCGTGCATGATGAAGCGGCCACTGTCGTCTTATAAAACGATGAGACGAAAGTATATCGCGTCTACCTTCTGAAGGAGCTTGTTGTGGCGGAAACTTAGCATGTTAGATGAAGTAAAACTCTTTCGACAGTGAGCTTTTAATATTTACCATCTTTCGCATCAAGTTCAACCCTCCAGCAGTTTTGCATCAGGCTTTATACATCTTCATTCTACACGAATATCGGCTGTCACTGCAACCTGCAAGGGGCTGTGGCACTCTTTACTGCAGATCCCGATACCGTGGATGCGGCTACTAGACCCACGGATCTCCTCTTATAGTTGAATTTTATTGTGGCAATACCAATGACTGTTACTATCGACTCTAGGCAGCGACTAAACAATTAATAATCGAAATTGAAGCGCATTAAAAAAATACGTCAAATTCAAACTGAAGCACATTTGTGGTACTTGTCTGGTGGAGTGTTTTCCTACACAATATGGTATAAGACTACGAATTGCTTACTGTTCCGAACTGCTGACTTATGGGGGGGGTACACGACTCCGCGTATGAACCCTCTCTCACATTTTGTACCTGTTGGCTGGCGGGTTGCTCTCCTCGGAAGACTTGAATAAGGATCTAGATGTCGGCCATGGAATAGATCGACCGGGTTTCCCGAAAGGATGTAATTCCCTCGTTGAGCCAGAAGTTGTCCACTCGATCGATCTGGTAGAGATTGGACTTGTAAATTAATTCATCCGGTAACTTGTCGTCGCCTCTGTATTTTCCTTTTTGTTAGGAGTAGTAACCACCTAATCTTATGCCTTGCTCCCAAAACACTTGGTGGGGGAGGCCGCTACCGATAGCGGGTCTTTGGGTGGAGGCACTACTAGATACGAACACGCAGACCATAAGTTCTATTCGATCTTGAGTCTTGCCATGCGACTACCTTTAACGAAGGGCAATTTGCATCCCTTTTCCGAAACAGGCGGGTCAACTCATCGATTTCCTTTACACACGACGAAGTCGTGCCACGTGCATCGAAAACTGAGTAGTATCTAATATCGTCCTATCCTTTAGCTCGTACTCTGTCTTTGCCATCCCCTGATTCCTGGTCATGACTGGTCAGGAGTCAATCGACCTTTAAGGACCGAGGTCGACTAATGAGCGACTGGGGTAGACCCTGAGGGGCCGAGTTCTACCAACGATGAACGAGGTCTACCGTTGAGGGAACAGACCTACAGATGAGGGTTCTCCTGCCAATAAGGGGATGCGGTTTTCCCTGAAAGACCGAGGTCCAATGATGAAGGAACAGGTCTACCGAAAAGACAGTGCGCCTAACAATTTCGGAGCATAGCCAATTTTTTCAGTACCATTCAATCGGTACCCTTGTAATGACCCCACCCCGTTGGTCTTGCTAATCCCCATCTCAAGGTTGCTTATGCGTCGTGGTCTCTTTCTATCTGATGCCTTTATATCACTAGATCCTAGGGTACACACATGCAGAGACGGTTGGATCAAGGCTGTGTACGTTTACACAATTTTTATAATAAAAACTACACACGAAGGCTTTCTCGGCGGCACACATCGGCACTGGGATTCGGTAGTGTGACGACACTGTCTGGGAAGTGTGTTGAAAGCTAAAGTCCCGCATTGAAACAATTCTACAGCACATTCTATGTGGCACCGTGTTCTTGAGCAAATGCTCAAATCTACAATATCTGCAGACGGATTGTGCGGTCCTAATCGATCGATGAGTGTGCAAGATCGACAGAAGAACGAGAAGGTAAATGGCTCGGAGGTATCGATCGCCGATATAGATGCAAAGGTAGATTTGGTGGATGGTGCTGGATTAGATTGTGTAATGAGTCACCAAAATTTAACAGTTAAGTTCATCTCCAGTCAAGGGCATTTGCTCATAGTCTTGCTTCTGGTCTTAAAACTACTTACGCTAAGTGTAACGGGGTCACACGACCGTACCCGGCCAAAATGAACATACCTTGTATCTGCAAAATACAGCTCCAAGTTTTATCTATGATAATTGAGCTGTTTGACAATATCTGTCATCCAGGTTGATGCACCATCCATCTAGTATTTAATAATAAAAAGGATCTACATGATAATTTGTTCAATCTTAGGAAGTTGAATAGGATTAATACAGAAAACTCTTGAAATTAAAAACAACAGTTCCCCATTTGTTCTATTGTTGACAAGTGTCGAATTTTTGACGTTGTTAGATCGCAAAGAGTAAGAGCCTTATTGTGGCCCACACCTTAAAACGCATTGTGCGTAAGCTTCATGGAATCGTTGTTAGTCCTCTGAACCAGGATTTGACGCTTTACGAGCGTAAGACTCTGCGACTCTTCGTTGACTAGATTTCAGAGCTAGAGACTTTCTAAGGTTATAGAAAATTACTTCTGTAATACTGAGTGAATTCTAAAGTCGTAAGTCTTCCTCTAAGAGCGTCTCCAGCGGCGAGTAAACAACTTTTCTGCATGTCATTGGCTCAGAATTTTTGAGATCAACGGGGTCATTGGACGAGATTAGTTGCATGTCATTGGCTCATGTTGATATCGAAGAACGATGATTTTGAAGTCGACGACATGGTTCTAAATGACACTGCCATCAATAAATCATTTAGCCCGATTGGGAATTACAAAAACAAACCGAGGCGACCACAACTTTATCAGTAGTTTCGCTCGGCCGAAAAAAACTCATTGCGAGCCCGAAGGGTAAAGCTGTTAGTGAGTGTGCGCAAGGTTGAATGCCGAACTTTTAAATCGTACTTGCCTGTCGGTCCATCTGTGTTTAAATAACGCGTTCAGGTGCACCTTACACGTACCAAGTGCGATTTAGCCTGTCCCCCCTCAAATGAATATTAGCGCATCTGAACTCACTCTTTTGGCTGAACGATTATTGTAATGCACACTTGTGATTGGCTTAATAAACACTCAGAAAAATTAGCACATCGGATCGCAGCACCTCACATTAACCCGATATAAGACTGTCTTTTGTGCAAATCAATCATCCATTTACGACCAACCCCGGCTAAAAGTCCCCGTTTCATGACCAGAGCTCTTGGCCGCTGCAGCTTCGCCGTGACCAAGCTCTCGCTCTCGCGTCACCCGCTTGTCCCATTTGCTTCTCGATTCATGAGCTCCGACGAACGCACGAAAGCCGACGCTGCTGTCGTCGCAGGCCCCACAACATCTCGTGATGCTAACGAGACGATATTTGATAAAATCATCAAGAAGCAGATCCCGGCAAACATCGCGTACGAGGATGAACAGTGTCTAGCGTTCCACGATGTGAACCCCCAGGCGCCCGTGCACATCCTGGTGATTCCCAAGGACCGAGATGGTCTCACGCAACTTGCGCGGGCAGAGGAGCGCCATCAAGCTGTCCTTGGGCACCTTCTGTTCGCGGCCAAGCTCATCGCTGAACAGCAGAACTTGGACAAGGGCTTTCGCATCGTCATTAATGACGGAGTGGACGGCTGTCAGTCCGTCTTTCACCTGCATTTGCATCTCCTTGGGGGACGCAAGCTCGGCTGGCCTCCTGGATAAGGAGGATGGTGATTCGGTGGACTGCTCGTTGCAGGGGGAGAGATGGCTTTAGTCTGGCGAGACAGGAGCCAATGGTTGTGATAAGTGAACTCGTGAGGTATCCGACTCAGCAAACTGGAATTCGTGTTTCCGTTCTAGTTGTCGCCTGTTGTGGGAGGTTGACGACAAATCGTAGGTTGAGCAGCTATTTTCGACCGCTGCATTCGTTGTGGAACTGAGTCAGGAACGTCTCCATGAAAGCGTGGCGTTCATCCGCCAGACGCTTTCCTGCGTCCGTCTTCATCATCCCACGCAGCTTCAGTAGTTTCTAATTTGCAAATGCATAAATGACCGTCGGCATTCAGCTGTAGCTGTTGAGTGAGCATCCGTGGAAACGAAAGCGTACCTCGTAGAAATGGTTGATAGTAGTGTTAGGGCGCTTCGGGTCCATGTACTGCTCCTTGGTCATGCTGTGCATCGGGGGTACCTACAGGTCATAGAGAGGCCGCCGTTTGTATCCCCCGTACGTGAAGCACCGCGCGATTCCAATAGCTCCAATCGCATCCTGCAATCGAACGAACGTCAGCACCTATCTGTCCTCCAAAGACTTAATAGCAAATCACCAGTCGATCAGCGTCTTGGACGCAGCCGTACTCGATCGAATGCGGTTGCTAAACATTGACCCCCTCACATGTTAGACCTATGAAGGTCTTGGACACATAGTCATGCCAGGAGAACGGCAAGCACGTACCTTGTTCTCACCTGCTAGCTCTTCTTTATAGCCCATACTGTCGATGATAGCCATTACGCATGCAATCTTGTCACTAGGTACATTTTCCGACTCCAGGAAAGCCGCAGCTCGCTTCGTGGGCTTCTCTGGGTCCTTCCGATACTTCCAGTCGTCAATGTCGTGCAACAGCGCTGCAAGATCCACAATCTCCCGACTCTCTTCGGACACGCGCTGCATACAAAAGAGAGAGAGAGAGGGGGGGGGGATGAGCTGGAGCCAAGAACGAGGCACAGGTCCAACGGAACGTGCCTCTTCCTTCGCCAGCGATTTCGCCAACGTCCAGACACGTTCAATGTGGTGCCAATCGTGCGACGCGTCGTTGGGTTTGAGCTGCTGCTTGACAAACGCTGCGGTACGCTGCACAAGCTGAGATGGAGCCATGAGGTGTGTACTGGGCTACTGAACTAGGACTCGAGTGTTCACTGATTCACCTCATTGGTAAGGCTACAGTTAAGAGCTGCGGCTCAGCCAGTCAACGAACGGCTTCTCATTAGTGGCTCGAGTACAGGACGTTCATGACGGACGACAGTTCGAGCCTCGGTGCTTGCAATTGCATGTTACTTACGCAGGAGAACTGCTACCTTTACTGCAAATGCAGCGTACGAAAGCTCATCGGATGCAACAAATTGTAGTCCGGCAAAGCTCAACTGACCCAACAGGCAGAATGAGAACGTGGAAGAAGCAAGAAGCAGAAGTCACTGGAAGCTGTACCGACTCGAGGTTAGCTGTTCATTTGGACTGCTTTTGATTCCGTCGGAAGCTGCTGGTGTCGGAGATGGGACTCAACGTCACTTCCTTGTATTGGTGGTGCTTGGACACTGGACAGGTGTTGAATCGAGTAGCACAAACCCTGATCAAACGCACTGTGTGGACTGCGACCCTGCCAGGGAGCACCTTCAGACAGCACGAAATTGCTGTTAGCAGTCCGTGCCACCCGACTCGACACTTCAAGTTGTTATCAGCCCGTGCTATCCGACTCGACCACCATCCAGGTAGTGGTGGCGAGAAAAGTATCATTGAGAGAGCTTGGGGGCTACTCTCAAAAAGACGAGCGCTGGAACCGGTGCCTCTATCAGCATCGATAGTCGACTCAGCTTATGTCCGTCAGCAGAGAGACACATCCAATCGTGTGCAACTGGATGAACTTCTTGCAGACCACTGTGATAGAGTGGCTAGCCGTGCTACCTGCATGTTGGCTCACAAACTCGATCTCGTGCGTCAAATGACACCTTTAAAGCATTTGTATCACGTTTGTGTTGCACTGCGACTCGCTTCGTAAGAAAAGAGCTCAAGAGCAAATCACTTGGTCATACCCCCCGCTGCACAAACTCGGTTAGCGAAAAAGTCCCAAATATCGTTGCATACGCTGCAATCGTGACACCACTTCACTGAGCTTTGACACGTCACGGACAATTGAGGAACCGGTGATGTGAGCGGACATGGTTCCACGGAGCGACCTACTACTGGAGAGTGCACAAAAAAAATTGGCGGTTTATCACTCGCTTTCCCACTTTTCACGAGCCGCTCATGGTAGACTTTCCGCACAACAATACGGTCCTTAACATTGTACTTCGCGTCAGTGCTTGCAGTACGTATACCCCGCTTACTTTGCCAAGAACATCGCGCGATACCAGCTCACATCATGACTTCTATTTGCGCTCTGTTCCTGCAGAGGCGGGATCAGTGCCTCAACGTAGCTCACTCACTCGTGATTCGCGTCCTAGCACGTAGTCGAAGGTTTGCAAGTCAGTTCCCGCTACCAAGACTGAAGTACGCCGGATGTGCGACGTGCTAATAGACTTAGTTGCTTACGGCGATGGCAGAACGAGCGAGGACTTGTAACGCCTGCCCCAGCAGGAACTTTCAAACGACACAACACCGAGTAACACACAGTGATCCGTGCTGAATTGCTGAGTGCGGCATATTGCAACACTACATGATGCTTGACCATGATCGATTGACGATGAGAGCAAAAAGCCGCAACGCAGTTTACTTCAACTCACTGTTTACGTAGCGTCCATGAGAGTTGAAAGCTGTGCTTCTACAGCCAACCTTAAATTTGGTCGATTCCTCTTCCTGCCGTGCAGTGCAGCATGACTCATCTAATTTTCTTCTTTGTCAAAAATCCAACCACGCTCTTACGATCAATTCCAGTGCGCGGTAGCGCCTTTTCCGGCCAGTATGAATTGTGCTCGCTGTTTATGGATGCCCCTGGCGGAATCAGATACATGTTGTATAGACACGCCGGAGAAATGGACAGCGCAAGCACACGCGAATTGTGCTTCCTTTTGTCCGCATAACGAACCATTTGTCTCACAAACTTCCAGTGATCATACGCGGATTCTAAGTAGAAGAACGCCACCGCTGATTCGTGGAGATTGCGGATCTCGGTCTCAATTCGACTCATCCCCACAATTCCATCCTGTGCTGCCACGATGCTGCGACTATCTGGAAAGTCGTCGGGTGTCATTCCGTTGCGGGTATGGCACCAAAAGGCATCGACCGGAAACTCATGGATATTGCACGTATCGGACGCGTCCTGAATCCGAATGAGACATGACCAAGCAACAGAACCACCGACCTTTGATACTCCATCATCAGTTGCCATCTTTTCATCCCCTTCGTTCATCGGCTTCGTATCGAGCCCACAGTCAATCAAATCAATCATAAACTGTGCCGCCCTCCATTCGGCTAAGCGACGGGCTTCCGCTTCTGTTTCCCATATTACCTGACACAACACATGATCATCTACTCTTACGACGCAGCTAACACCTGGTTGTGAGCGAGATGCACGACCGAACGATGATCGAGGTCGTTCTTCCACCACAGTTGTAATCTGATGATAGAGTACAAAAGAGAGACCCAAGATTAGCAAAGGCTGGCGCGGACACTTTGACATGCAAAGAAGCGGTTACGAACATTGGCAATGCCGGATAACTTGAGGTCCCGAAACGAGTCAATAGGCGAGACGTAAGATAAAGATTTTACGTCCAGAAAATGAAGAAGCTGCGCCCACACCGAGCGAACGCGGTTCAGCTTGTCCAGCATTCCATCGACCGCAGCATTGCAAGCATCTGGCTTTGCCCTCTTCGATGCTTTGAAGCGAATGACATCATTGACATCGACCGTGACTTCAAAAACACCTTCACGCAAGCGCTCCATCTTTATGTTTGCCGTTACATTAGGAACAATCAATTTGTGTTCTGCTCCACGATACTTGAGCGACGCCCAAAGCCTGTTAATACCAGCACATAACTCGTCCGTTGGGGTAAATAGACTCCGGATTGTGGCACGGAATCTTGCATCATGGGATTGACCACACTCGGACTGCTCATCATACTCCTTATTTAGCTCATTTTCAAACACTGCAGATTTCGACACAACATTTGCATCTGGTGCAGCCTTGACAGCTGATGGATCCCAATCGTCGTCACTGAACCCTCCTCCATCTGAGCCACTATCATAATCATCGCCATCGTTATCCATCTCATCGTCACTGCACAAGATAAGGTTGGCCTGTTTCACTGGAGGAGTTGCCAACGGACGTGGTTGGACAGCCGCTACAGTTTGAGACCTCGTGGTAGTATGTGCCATATCCGTGCTTCCATTCGAGAGGAATGGTGACGTAGCGAACTTCATCTTAGCAAGCGAATCCAAAATATCGCGCCATCTTTCATTAGCGGAACGCTTTGCATCTTTTGCGGTCAGACACGATGTAGAAATTGCTAGTGTATCGCGTACTTTAATGAAGTACATGAACATGGGCGGAACGAGTTTTTCCGATGTCGACACCTGCTTGTACAAATGCATGTAATCACAAATATTGACGTGAGCGCGCCGATATACAGCGTGCCGATAAACCAAATGCATAAGTAGACTCATACCTTGTCGCGATTTTTGGCTTGTACCTCATTCCCAGCCATCAAAGTTGTTGGAGTCTTAGCTAGTCGTTCTTTGTACGTAGAAACCAATGCTCTCCACGTATGGATCATCCCATCCAGCGTATTGATTAATGTCGAAGCTGCCCTGTCCTTCGCAATTTCAATAGATGGTCCTTCCCCGCAAGCCCCAACCACACTCTCTGCCGCAGTGAGCACACAGCGGACAAGCCCATTTTCCAGCTTCGTAGCGGTCCAGAAGATCTGACAGATTCATACGTTCTAGTTAAAAAGGAAGACCGGGATCTAACACGATCGACTCAAGCAAGAGAGCGTACCGTAAGATTCGGCGTGAATTTGATTGCGTCGGACCTCGCGCTTAGATCCCACACAATCGTTTTAACAGCTTCCACTACCTTCTCCCGATGTCGGAAAAGAAGCATCAGCAACTCTTGATACACAACAGATTTTGCCTTTGCCACTTCATCCGCAGGGCGAGACGCCCGTGTATTGCGATTGCGACCCAATCCACGTCGATCCTCAACAAACAAGTTCGTTCCGTTTACAGAAGGTACGCGGCCATCTTTTCGCTGAGTACCACGCGTATCGGGTGCTTTCAATTCTAAGGTCGCATTCGACAAGCGAGAACGAGGAGCTCCACGCTCGCTCTCGGAGATGTTTACGTCCAACGCATAGCGTCGCTTTCCTAGAATTCCACGCGACCTTAGCTCAGCCTCTCTCTCTTCTCGGGAAGCAATGTGCTCAGCGCTCTCGGGCACGACTTCCATCTTGACATCGTTTGTGGTTTCAACGTCGGCCTCGGCATCGATCTTTTCAGTCGTGACTGACTTTATTTCGCTCTTGATTTGTACCACACGGTCGCGTTTCAGGCTCTCGTCATACTGGTCGACCAATTCCATCAGAAACATCATGAGTGCATCGACTACTTCGCTTTTTGTGCTAGGGAGGGATGAGCCACGTCTACATATAAGCGGACATTCTTGGATATATGCCACGACGTCATAAGTTAACACATTGTTGAGGTTTCTGCTGGGCCTCTCCCGAAGCTGTACACAGCAACTGCACGTTAATTTCACAAGTGACTGACCAAGGATTGTAAGTCAGGAGCACTTACCCGCACAATCCGTTTTGTGACTAGATAGCTAAAGGCTGCGTCCTTCACTTTGCGCGTATCGTTGGCTGCACAGAGGCCAAATTGCGATCTCAAGTACAAAAGCATGTCAATGTACAACCTTTGGTGCTCGCCAATCGCGCTCGTGAGGCGCGACAGCGCACCAATGGTGGCATCTTGATCAGTAGCACCCGTACAATCAAATGACAAATGCCCTAACCGGACACGGACAGAACACTGATTCGGCTCATCTACCTGCACCTTGCACTGAAGCTAAACAGAACGAGTATGAGCCACCGGTTTTGCTCCTCAACGCACAGCTGGTAAGTTACCTTAAGGCCTGGTGCCAGTATGAGTTCCTTGTTTATTGCCAGCGAGGACACAGTTCGAACAGCTGCTGTCAGTTCTCGAAGTGATGATACAATGTCGGCATTAGGACCAATAAGAGCTAGAAGGTACGATTGGCCTTCGTCTGCACGGGATGTAATCGTCTTGAAAATGCTGCTTTCGTCGCGTAACCGTTCCTGATCGAACGAAGGAACCGTGACTGAAACGCGCTCGGACTTTACAGAGTGTACGGCACTACCAGGGCCAGTCGGTCCAAGCGTTAGATTCGCAGCAAACGTCACTCGCTTCTTTGGGACGATAGCTGTCGCGAAACTTGACAAGGACGATTGCGAGCTTTTCTGGCGCAGTATCGACCTGACGGACGAACCGCTATCGTCGCAACCATTTCTATCAAATTGATCCGGACTCATTTCGACCACCATGTTCTCTACCGGCTGCTCATCGACGGCCTCATCAAGAGATTCAATGCCCTTTTCGTCTTGCTCTTTAGTGATTTCAGCATACCACGCTCGAAATTTGTCTGCAAACTGGAACGTTCGATCCTTCATTAACGTGTTCCTCATATCACCTGTCATCACTTTCACGTACATCAGCAACTTCTTGGCCGCGTGCAGTCGTTGCACTATGTGTCGGTCCTGCTTGATCAATTCATCGTAGCAAATGGCCAGCAACCGATGGTGTGCAGCCATATTGTCTAAAAGACGTAGGAGATGTCCGTGAGTACGCGCTTGTCCGAGGTTCACCTTCTTTGATGCCCCCAAGCGCACGAAACGCAGCACGAGCGTCCGGCATCCAGCTCGATCGCCTTCTTGTTTGATAGTGACCTGAGATCCAAATGCCTCCACGTCCTTGTAAAGTTGCTTGAGATTCCGTCTATACACAAGCAGATCTTCCGACGCCATCCCGACTAAATAATCATCTGGTTCCACGGTGCAAATAGGCATCCCGTGTTGCACGTTGTCACCCACTTTGTCCACAAAGTCCATTGAGTACTGAGGAGCTTCGACCTTGTTCACCTGAAAGACGTGCGAATTCATTGTGGCAGTCACCGAGAGCCCTAAGTCCGTACTTAAGTGCAACTTGTCAATGGGACCACGAGGGAGCGAGTAGTGGACTTCGTACGTGCTTCCAAGGGACAAAAGCTTCTTCACAGCCAGTGAGACCTCGACTCGCCATAGACGCACGCCCATGTCGAGTGCCAGAGACTCGTAGTCCGGCCGCTCGAACGGGTTCACGTCCTCCATCAGAGTGCTCGTGTCGTTTTTTCTCGTGTAGCTATTGAGTGTCGTGGGCTTATTTGTGGCAACGGTGAATAAACCCATAGTAATAATGCATTGATTCTAGTAAATGGCACAAGAGCGAAACGACGTGGGCTCGCTGTATATTGTTTGTGGTGGGATATTGCAATGTCGCGACAGTTGGACCTATTCCGTTCGTTCTACTCCATTAGGAATATGCGACTGACAACGTCACCCACGAGCCAGTCAATACCGTCGACAAGACCTTCGCCAGTCACGGCGCTGCAGGAGACGATACTCCAATGTCGGGTTGAGAATTGAGCGGACCGCAGACCGAGTGAATCTGCAATCTCAGCAGAAGAAAGAGCGCCCGGCAAGTCTTGCTTGTTGGCGAAAATCAGCAACGTCGCGCCTGCTAGTTTCTACTTGAGGAGTAACGTACACGTAACAGTGAGCAACGAAGTCGGTAGCAGGAAAGCAGGACCAGCTTGGATACGAGGGCTAACGAGGTGTAAGAACACGCACACGCACACACACCCACCTCTTGAGTCAGCAACTGGCCAAGTTCCCGCTTGCAATCTTCAAGTCTTCGTTGGTCGGCGCTATCCACGACCCACACGAGGCCATCCGTCTGCCATCCACACATTATGAGACCCCGTGCTGCTTCAATTCATCACGCAATTGTTGTTGCGGTCGAGAGTTACCTGCTCAAAGTAGTTTCTCCAGTACGACCTGATTGTCTGCTGGCCACCAACGTCCCATACATTCAGCTTGAAGCTGAAAAGAGACAGGACCAGACAACACGATCCGCTTCAGTCTCATTCCTATTAACCCATGTGCTGTCCGGCCAACTCCGACTGTTGTGTGTACTCACCCTTTGTACTCAAGAGTCTGAATATCAAATCCTAAAGTAGGAGAAATTTCGGTGATGTCCTGGCCCATAAACTGCTTCAGTATCGTCGTCTTGCCAGCGTTGTCTAGACCTCTTTCCGAGGGACAGCACCAATAGAAAGCCCGTTAGCTTGATCTCTACTATCTCTGCATATTCCCTGAAGGACAAAGCATTGATTGCGAGTTGCAGCGTACAGCATGAGAATGCGTATCTCCTTCTCTTTCTCCTTGACCTTCTTGAGGATAGTTAGCAGCCCCATTGTCGTCTGCTCTTCAATTGATTGGCGCAATATCACAGTGCGCTGCAGGAATATTGTCGCAATTGTTTACACTGATTGCAATATTACACTCAGCTTCATCATTGCAATAAGCAGTCACTGAACGTGAATGAGGAGAAAGGGATAATCTACGGCAGCAATGACGACATTCTCTGCGAACACCTTCACAAAATAGTAGCGCCAGCGCGTGTTTATTCGGCTCTTGCAACAAAGAATGGGGCTCCATGTCGTTGGAAGTGCTTTATTTTCGGAGTCTATCTAATCAATACATTTCATGCCAGATCACTGCTTCTGCTCGTCTGAACGCGTTGGATTTACAAGACGCGTACTCGAGATTAAGATACGCTAAACGTTGCACGATCAAAGGGTGATTCAAGGTTCCTTTTCATTGCAGCGGCGTTCAACCTGGTACAAGCAAGAGTTCTCGTCGCACTTTCCTAGAAGCTCGTGTCGAATGCAATGCCAGCTACCTCTTGCTATGTAAAAGGTCGTCTCGAAATCATAATAGCGGAAAACGCACGCATCATTGAAGTTGGCGAATTCATCGCTTGTTTACGAGCATATCCAAAGAAACGCGCCGTGTCAAATTCGCCAGTCGTATACGCCCCCAGCGCTCATAGTGGCAACGGCTGGATTACTCATATACAAGGTGTCGCCGATTGCAGAGCTAACAGTAACTGCTCGTAGTGAGGTAAATCGTTTCTCAAGCTGTTCTTGCGTACGTATCCTCCGTTGGGCATGAGGGTCAGCTCCTGAGTAAAAGTGGGTACACTCAATGCGCCCGAGCTCCATCTCTTCGGACCTGACGTACAAATTGTAAGCGAGTCCGTCTTTTTGATTGGATGAGATCCCACAAATTTACGTGATTTGCAGTTATTTGATTACGACCTCCGTGTCAGTCGCACACTAGAAATGAATCGCATATTCGGCAAGAAGAAGCCCGAAGCGCCACCCGTCGACGTTTCGGATGTAGGGAGCAAAGTGGACGCCCGGGTCACTGACCTCGACACCAAGGTTTTCATTTCATTCTCATTCCGCACGTACTGTGTGTTAAAAAAGACGCTGACTTTCTTGCTGTCGCAGATTGAGAAGCTGGATCAAGAGCTCCGCAAACATCGCGAGCAAATGAAGAAGACGCGAGGCCCCGCGGTTAACGCCATCAAGCAGCGAGCGATGCAAACGCTCAAACGCAAGAAAATGGTTGAGGCGCAGCGGGACAAGCTACAGGCACAGTCCTTCAATATTGAGCAGGTTCGGTTGGGAAGCTGAAGTGAGGGGTTGCATTTCAAGGCGCTGATGCGTATACGTGGTACTGCAACGATCAGAGTGATCTCACTGATCTTGGTATAAACTGATCTGCAGGCAGCATTTGCGATCGACTCGTCACGGGGCACGATCTCTACGTTAGCTGCCATGAAGAGTGCAGTGGTGCAATTGAAGGCGGAGACCAAGCAAATTGACATCTCGGAGCTAGAAGTACGCTGGAAGGAAGATGCTGGGTGCGGTAGTCAAAGGTATCATCTTGGTGATGGACTACGGATTTTGTGGTTATCTTGTGATACAGGACGTGCAAGATGATATGGCCGATCTGATGGAGGACATGAACGAGATTCAAGACCTCATGGGCCGCTCATACGGGTTCGCAAAAAGCTTCGTGTGCTTCTGTCATGCTACAATTTCAGAGCTAACTGTCGGTTTGTTCTCCTCTGCCTTCGTTTCCATTTGCTTTTTAGCATAGGGGACCAAATCGATGAAGACGAATTGGAAGCTGAACTGGAAGGCCTGGAGGAAGAGTGGGTCGAAGAAGCAGCTCGCGGCGAGGAAGCAGAGCATAGGCCGTCGTATTTGGCACCTGCAAAGAACCAAGAGCTTCCTGCTGCGCCTTTTGGCAAGTTGGACTCCTCGTCTCAACGCGATACGGACCTAATTGGCCTGCCCGTGGCATCGTACTCGACATAGTGTGCCACTAACTCACTGCATGCTGTAGTCGACACCAGCCATACGTGGTACAAACATACACACAGCAGGGTGTGCATTGATATGTATGATGTAATCCACCCGCTGATCGGAGGAGATTAGGGCGAGTTTAGGTAATTTGTCCCCCCCAAAGCTGCTCTCCGCCTCCTTACGAGCATTATGCTCCTTCGTAATACAGCCCTTTCCTGAACACTATAACCTTTATAAGAATTTGACAAAAAGTAGAGGAAAAAAAGGGTGCCAAACTTCGTAGGAAATAATGCTGTGCATCACAACATGTCAAAATAGAAAGGGAAGGAATAGACAAACACCGCCTTCTAGCTATACGTAAGCATTTCGTACCGAAATTATACGATCTCAGCTATGATTGACTGATATTGTTGAAAATATGAACTCCCTGACCGAATGGGACTACTTTTAGATAAATCACTAAATACGGTGAGTGTGGTGGTATTAGCCCCTTCATCAGCAAACCAAATTGGACAAATGCAATTATTAGGACCGTTTAGAAAGTGGATGGACAAGTTAAGTTCATAATCTACCGCTCCCACGTGTCCGTTCGGACAGAGCAGTGTTGCTCAATATCACATTGCAAACGCCTAGTCATTCGCATAATGCACAATAACACTCAAGCTCCGACATGTCCGTCAAAAGATGAGTCCGAACAATCTCGCACCTACCAGCACGAAGCGTAATCTTGAGAACGCAGCGCGCTTGGTTTTAAATTTCTAGATGTGAAAGATATTAGCTGGGAGTCCTGAAGCGATGCATGCATCGCTAGAAGGCACTTCTCGCCTTAGAAACTGTGGTGAATACCCACGACAGCCAACGAGTCGAGACTGTGCAAACTTGGGTGGCTAAGACGATGCAGGTGACGAAGGCGAAGATGAGTAGACCAACAAGTGCTATAGCTTGTAGATATGGAGGTACATTTTGAGGAGTTTGGTCCAGCTCTTTACTCCACGGTCTGAATAGGGGTGATCCCCTTCAATTCAAAAGCCCTTTCATTGTCTCACGCAATATTTTGTCACCTACTGATCACTTTTTAATTTGTTTTGGTGTTCAAGGTAAACTATGTCCCTTCCTTAATGACCACCTGCTTATCTGTATGGAGTGACTTTCTCCTCAGGTTCCTGTTTCTTGATAAATATATGCAGAAAAACAGATGTACATTCTTTATGATTCTACGAGTAGTCCAACTTGTCTTGCGTACTTTTGGTCCTTGCACCCATTTACTATGTATTTGAGTAGCTTCAAGCAGCTAAAGCTCATTATCTCCATGTATCGTTGTGCCTCAATTGTAGGTGCACTTGCCTCTCCCCGTTCCGTGACTTTCGGTTGTTTCATCATCGCTCATTAAGCATTTTGGAGATTAAACTTATTCGCGTTTACTGGGTGAACCAATATGCTTGGCACTCAATTTGCAAGCTTTCACCTGATTTCCCGTCTTCTTTGTAGCGCTTACAGTGCCGACGAAAACGAAAGGACAATTTTTTTAACATGTTATCGAGCAAACACCGCTATAATGAGACTTTCCACCACCAAAAAGGCTAAAAACGGGGAGCCTAATGTATCCAAACGTTTAATGTCTTTCACTAAAAGCAAAGAAGAATCCGTGTAAAATGCGTTCTGCGCGCAACATATTAAGTGCACAAAATGGATGGGACAGGTGTACGGACGCGCTTCTGCAGTGAGTATTACTAGCTGACTAATTGCATATGTGTTTTTGTGTGGTATAAATGCATTATTTACAAGTTAAGCTGCGCTTGCACGGGGTGTTTCTTAAATAGGCAGAAAAAGATCGCTTATGGAATTCGAGTGCGGTCAAATCGTTTTCTACGAAGGCATCATGTTATGCTAGGTGATGTCTATGTGCGAATTGGGAAATCCCGTAATGTTGTACCGAGTTTTTGAGTTACCCCGCCGCCTGCGACACGAACCCTAAGTGACCAAATAAACATACAATATAGCTTAGTGGCGACTGCTGCGGGGAGGACTTCAAGACTGGTAACAGCGTCTGAAATGTTTAGGATAATGTACAGGTACGCGTGTCTGTGTGGAGTGTTCAAAATTGCCACACGACGCACTCAACTTGCGCTTTGAGACTATGTCGGAGGCTGCCATTGCGAATAAAAAATTTAGACAACGCGCTAATTATACGTACAAAGAGCAGCCAGTCGCACATTTGTACAATAGACTCACGAGCTCGACTTGAGGTATACACTGTTCCATCATGGACTACCTAGCTACCTACCACCACAACTATGTCCCCCAATTTTCCAACGAGTAATAAATTGTCAAGCATGCGCTTGTACCACGATGTCGCGTCTCGCTCGTTTTTAGTGCCGCTGATCCGTCCGAAGCTTTCAACGGTCCAAATGTTATTATGCTCTGCTCCGAGACTGAAGTATCTCTTTGGAAGGACACGTACAAGCTTGCCTTGACTGGTCGTCTAAGTGGCTCATGGCAAAAAGTGAAGCTCTGTGATTTTTTTGGACGAGAATAAATCTAGTTTTGCAGGGCCGAATGGATTTCAGTACTATTGGCGCGATCTGTGCCAATGCAAACAGGTTTGTGGCGAAAAGCTAGTGGTAGAATCGTGTTCGTGTGAAGCTCCTTTATATAGACAAAGAGACATTTGAGATGTCCTCGCTGGAGGGCAAGCAGAATGCAGAAAGCTACATTAGCACACTTGTAGAATACTGAGTATTATTCGCGCATTCAAGTCATGACCTCAGCTTAAAGTTTCAGCAAATGTATCTATTGATTCCCCGCCTTAATTTCAAAAAGAAATTTGCCGCCAACAAGTTAATGTGATGACGGGCCTGCTAAGTTTCCGGAATTGTATCCAATCACAAACTTAGGGGGGTTCCTGGCAAGTGCTATTTCTGTGGCAGAAAAGAACTAACGGACGAAACTTGGACTTGTGGCAGCAAATTAGACGGTTTTTAATTCGATTTACATAACGACACCCACTGGCCAGATCGAATACATAGAAAATACTTCCTGCTAGTGTTAAAGGGCGAAGGATTGAAGAGAAGTTCACTGTAAAATGTACAAATTCGATATGAAGGCATCACCGTTCATACAAACATCCGGTCAACTTCAGAGGTCCAGAGACACACAGCGGTATTCTAACGCAACCGTGGATCAATTTTTTTGTAAAGCCAGCCTCAAGATGAGCAGCAAGAACGCTAACAAAAGCAACACATTACGCAGTGCATATGGTGCCTCCATGTAGCACAACTACATCAACATAGGATAATAAAACTATCTGATGCAAACATCTAAGTGTACTGCATACATCGTTTTGCGTCTGGCTGTGCCGTAAATTAAGTAAATTTAGGCATAAGTTAGAAGTTAATTTTGTCATTAAACTGCAGACCGCTTGGTATAAATACATAACATCCTCATTAGTAGAAATTGTTCTGCACAAGCAAATTGGATCCCTATGTTTGCGGTGCATGATTCTTGCAGGCAGATGTAATCTCGATAGAAATTGCCTATCTTGCTATGATTTCAATTACAATGTCAAACATGTTGCTGATCAGGGCTCTCGTGACATTTCTAGTGAGGTAACAATCGCAGAGAAGACAAGTAGTCATCAGGAAGTACATTGGAAAGTGTATTAGTCGTTAGAGAACTTACTCATGCATTTAGCTACTCCTTTGTAGAAGCGCTACAAAGATTATACCTGTGTCGTTTCTTTCTTCATACAGCCGACTGCCGAAGTTTCACTTTCTGTGTCCGTTCCAAAACGACTACATCCAAACGTCATCACGACGTTGGAACATGCACAAGTTGTACACAATTAACGCTCATCCTCGACTAAAATACTCCGACGTTTGTCTTTGCCACGAGAAACTGGAACTCGTTGGTCGGAATTGCCTTTGTAAGAGATAATCGGGAAAGATGTGACTTTGTGCCAATATGTTCCAGTCGAATGACCTTGGCCATGACTTGTTCACGCACAAAATGATAGCGAACATCAGTATGCTTCGCTCCACTTTGATATCCTTCGTTCTTCGCAATAGCAATCGCACTCGGGTTGTCTTTATGCACAACGACCAAAGTGTCATCCTTGACCTTCATCTCCACTAATAATCTCTTTGTCCGAAAAATCTCTTGAATGCACAGCAAAAGTGCCACATACTCAGCTTCGGCAGTACTTAATGGAACATCGTTTAGAAGCTTTGACTTGAACATGACTGGAGAGTCATTGACCATCACGATGACTCCAGATGTCGAATGTCGACTATCTTTGTTACTTCCCGCAAGCCTGGTCACCTAAAGCTAAGCCTTAACAAAATACACTCAGCTTTAGGTCACCAGGCTTGCTAGGATGGCTAATTCTGTTCGCTGCAATCGACTTTAGGTAGCGCAGCACAGGGATGGCTGCATGTAAGTGCTCTTTACTTGCTTTTCTTAAACGTCGACTCAGGCCGATAACGTCAAATGCGATATCGGGTCGTGATACTGTTGCCACATAAAGGAGCGATCCTACCAGAGATCGATACGGTCGATTCGCCATCTTCGGGACATTTTTCTCGCACGTAAGCATAACTTGACCTTACACGCTAGTTTTTAACCATTTTCACTCAAATTTAATTAATTTTTTCGATCATTCTGTCAGTGCACGCACGTTGGCTATTCTTGAGCTTTTTTTAATGCTGTGCACACCCCACCTCAATATCGAGAATTAATCTCATAATACTTAGCTGCTCTAACGTGAAATGACTTGCAAGATCACCAACAACTTTGTCAATTAAAATAGCAGGAGTACCTCCGATCAACATGTCGTCAACAAACAGCGTCACGTAAATCTCACGAAAGGTTTCGATCGTGACGAACGAAAACACACAGGTCCGAAAAACAAGGCACAAAGCCCATTTTCCGAAGCACGGTCAAAGTTGTCTTAAACCATGTCACAGCAGCCTGTTTTGATTTATACAGACTTCTGTTGAGTATCAAAACCCGACTCGGCTCCATGGTGACACCTGTAGATTTAGAAATAAACGTATCGTTTTTCCAAACTCCATTAAGGAAGGCTGTGTCAACATCATATTGACGGATAAGCATTCCAAATGACAACACACGGCAAGATATACACGAACAGAGTACGTTTTTGCCACCGGCGAATATGCCTCGTGTTAATCCACACCATGAGTTTGACAATAGCCTAGGGCAACAAGCCGTGCCTTTAATTGATTAACTTCTTCTGTTCATTTCGCTTTATGGCGAACACCCACTTGGTTCCGGTCACCATGTGACCGGTAAATTTGGTCTTTGCACTCTATGTACTCTTCCGTTTGAGTGTAGGCAATTTATTTGTGATCGCATCTTTCCACATCTTGGCTTAAGGAGAACGAATCGCATCTTGATATGTTGATGGGCCTCTAGAGCCGCATTTGTTTGTTCATATTCGATGCGATGTCGTTTTGGAGCTTGCTCTGGTCGGGCGTCATTTTGTGCAGGTACGTTTGCTTTATAACGACTCACTGGAACTAGAGCCTGGAAATTTTGACTGAGCGTCGACGCATCTGGTGCATTGTGTCCGCCATGACGAGATGGTACCAAATTAAATCAATCGTTGGTACGAATTGATCCATCTCTAGGCACAATGGCCTGCTCTGTTTCCAAATTAACATCAACTGGCTCCATGTAAACGTCGTCTATCACGAAAGCTGAACCTGGACAAGCAGCGATATCTGGGGTTGGACTCATCAAATCAAATTTGCTAGGGGGTGAAATTGAACGAGTGCCTATTTGATCCCCTTCCATAGGTTCATGTCTGCTGCAAGTTGGTGTGTATGGTAAGTGTACCTGAACTACATCGTCAACTTCATCCTGATTCACATTGTTGTGTGGCATCTTGACGAGTAACAACTTCCACAAATCTAAACTGAGGCAGCTCTTGAAATATCGCAGACCTCGTTATTTACAGTCGATTTGAATCAAAAATTCAAACACGGTAGCCCTTCAGACCATGTGCGCACTCCAAAAACCTGCATCGAAATGCTTCTATCAACTTCTGTCGTTTTGATTTGTCAATGTTCGCGTATGCTTGCGAGCTAAACGCACGCGCATACGACAAGGCCGGCTTTGATCCGAAACAAACTTTGAACGGAGTCTTGGTCGGGTTAGAAGCACGTGTTATGCGACTCGTAACGAATATTGCAGTGCTGATGGCACCAGCCGACCATTTCTTTTCAACCTTTTTGTGATATAATGGTGATCGTGCTAGCTACGTCACCGTCCGATTCATTCGCTCAGCCATTCCATTTTGCTGCGGCAAAGACGAAACTGTCTTTGGTGTATGAGTCCAGCTTCTCGACACACTTGATGAAAAACGCTGTTAATATATTCGCCACCGTTGTGGGTGCGGAAACATTCATAATTTGCAAACAATTGTTTTTCCATCATCGTCTTATATTTGATATACTTATCGACCACTTGCGACTTGTGTGTAATGTAGTACGCGACTACGTTTCGCTAAAAATCGTAAAAAAACGTAACAAAGAATCTTGCTCCGCACTGAGACCTAGTTTCCATTGGACCCATTGCATCACTGTGAATCAATTGTAGTGGTGAAGTCGTCTTCACTTTACCGTAACTTGAATTCGGAAAAGGCTTTATTGATGACTTGCCGGCCACATATCCTTCACATATATCATCTTGAAAATCGACGACATTCAACACCTCTTTCATTTTGAATCCTTTGACACAGTTCTCGAGCTTTTAATGCCTTCATATGCAGATGCCCCATTCGAGCATGCCAGGTGTTTGGATTCACAGGATTGGCCGCGCTGCCAACCTCTCCACAGGTCTTTGCAGACTCCACTCGTTTAAATTACAGCATACACAATTACACCCTCCGGGTAACTTGAGTCACCACTTCGTGTTAGTGCCTGATCTCACATGTGTTCTTCCGCAACATTGTGCATAAGCCTACACAGACAATGCGGAAATTGACAGAAGTCTACAATCCAGTTCCGGAACCTAGAGCACGTCTTCAATACGGATGGGCTTCTGGTTCTTCAATAAGACTTGAATCGTCCCAATTGAAGTAGCCGTCACTATTTCTCCATTCGCAACCATAATTGCAACTTGCCTTTCAGTAGATTGATTTTCCACAAACTCATCCTTGAATGGGCACATGTGACTACTTGCTCCACTGTCAAGTAGCCATCCTTCATCCTCTTGTTCACACACTGTAAACACTTGTTCTCCATTCTTTTTCTTGTCAGGATTCTTCTAGCAATCATGTTTCTTGTGTCCCTTTCTTCCACAGACGAATCACGTACCGGAAAACTTGATTTTTCTTTCCTTTGACCTGGAAACGTTACCCTTGACGCTTCTTCTAGCATTCAATGCAATCTCATGCTTGTACTTGCAAACGGTTCCTTCGTACTCACGACGAAGCAGCTTGTTTTTCCAAAAAGAGATCAATGTCCCTCACGTTCTCGATCATCTTAACGCTCTGATCGTACTTATCGGAAAGACTTCCTAGCAAAATAGCGAGCTGTTTAAATTGCGACACTTCGTCTCCAATAGCTTGCATCGACAAAAACAGTTCGTCGAAGTTGAGAAGGTTATTTATCACGCTAACGCCCTTCTGCATCTAGAATCAATGCAGCTGTCGACGCATCTGGACTCGATTGTGAATTCTTCGACGGAAGAAGAAGCTTTTCAATTTCTTCGACGCCTCTGCAGTCGTTTATGTCGACCGAACTATGGATTGAAGACTTGGACTGACCTTTGGTGCACACGGTTGCAAAAGCACTCATGTTGTTGCATTTACAGGCGCCAGTGTTAAAGTTGCCTTCACCTGGAGATTTAGTCATGTAGAGGTGCTCCATCAAAACTTTCTTTGCGAGCTTCACTCGAGTGGAAACTCCCGAAAGAAGTGATGATCTTCGTTGAGTAAAAGTTTGCCTCCGCCGTAATTATGCTCATAACCTAATGAGGTGTTAATCTCAGAGGAGACAGCAAGTCATCAGGAAGTAAATTGGAAAGTAAATTAGTCGCTACAGAATTTAAACATGCATTTAGCTACTTCTTTGTAGAAGCACTACAAAGGTCATACCTAAGTCGTTTCTTTCTTCATACAACCGACTGCCGAAGTTTCACTTTCTGTGTCCGTTCCAAAACGACTACATTCAAACGTCATCACGACGTTTGAGCATACACAAAATGTACATCTCACACAACGCTTCGTGCCTATACAATTTTGTACAAAATCTAAATCCAAGGAGTGCAGATGATGGCTACTGATGAGGGTAAAAGTTTAGCCTATGCATCCTACGATTGCCTTGTCTTCATTGTGTCCAGGCGATTGTTGTCGATTGACAGTATGAGGCGCTTTGTTTTATATAATAGCTCTTCATTTCATCCTCCAGCAGCAGCCACTGCTGTTAATGTAATCGCAATTGCTCGTTAAAGGTCTAAAAATTACTTTACTTTCCCAAATGTTGTGAAAATGGCAAAAATGTGTGTTGTAAATTGCAAATTCTTATAATCAAGGGATAGATTGGGCAAATGAGGTCGCAAAATTGGTATAGTGTCTCTTATTGGTGTGGAATACTGCAAATACTTTGTTTTGAAAAAATAGAAACTGGGTGTGGTGTATTTGGCAGTCCCCTTGTTTTAAGCCATTCCGTAATATCTCCGACCCTGATGAGCTCCGATAGGGGTTGAGCCAGTACAAAATTTTGTAAATGGGGGCACTTTGTGTTGATTATGTAGGTATTTAGGAAAGCTATAATGTGATTGGCCATGCAAAAGCCGGTGCGTAGGAAGCCAGTAGACGAATCACTACGCTCTAAAAGGGCCTGTGTGCGTATAAAACAGGCATTTTTTCGGTATGCACTTTTTTGGTGCTGATTGCATCGCAGACATGTTTTTTTATTAAAAAATTGCAAAGTCGGCATTCTTACAGTATTTTAACGCGTAATGATGCTGCATGCGACTAGCTATCAGGTCTAGCGTGGGTACTACGGGCGCTTGTAAATTCAATAGTCTTTGTAGTATGCACAGGTGAACGATAAAACTGCGCACAACATTTCAATTTTATCTGTATTGTCGGGTGTTTTTGTTTCGATGACGACCTTTGTGAAGATTGAGTACGTTTCGTGCTTCGCGGGCTTTGATGTTGTGTTTGCCAAGAAACGTCAGTAACCGCATATCGGTGACATCGCAATCTCTAACAGAGCCTCAAGATACTACAG